ATATGGTCTCCACAGTGGAATGTCTAGGCACTGTTTCTTTCCCCAGTGGAATTTATTTTTCACTATTATTTGTATTTACATTATTATTATTTCATTTCTATACTACTTTATATTTTAAAGAACAAATCTCAATGTGGGAATCGTGTCTGGCTAATTTCTAACACTGCACAAAACAGTGTTAAGTATTATTTACAGTTTATAAAGCAACAACAAACCATGACTTACAGCGTTGTTTGTTCACGGTTAATAAACCACAGTTATTCCACTGGGCCAGATTCAGATGATTAACCATTAAACCATAATTGTGAACCATGGGTTAGTGTTACATGCAAACCAGGCCTATGCATAAAGCCAACCCAATAAACTGTAATAAAGACACACACAGACACACACACACACACACACACACACACATATATCTTAAAATTACAGCAGGTTGATAGACACATATATGATTTGAGACAGAATCACTCACTCAACAAAGGCTTTTCTAAAACACAATCCTTGCCAATGGAACTTGTTTGATAAGCTTCAAGATGTTTAAAGTCTGATCCTAAGCAATATTAGGCACACTCAACCCCTTTGAAATCCACAGATGGAAGATGCAAGCCCTTTTAGGAGAACAATAACCCAAAAGCAGAGGGGGCATGAGCAGCTGCAATGGCTGCTACTATTCCTCCTCACCACTAGGGGCAGAAGTGGCTGACGGACTGGCAGTGGGGGAAAATGAGTAACTTGTACAGCAGCCAGTGTGCTCCCTCCCTCCGTTTTCACCAAAAGGTTCAGAGCTCTCACCTGACCAGGGGAGCCATGAGCCTTTGACTGAAAACAAAAACCCAGCAGGAACTTCTAGAGTTGTTCCTTCTCTTTACTACCATGGCAATTTTGGAGTTTCTAGGCAGTCAGAATTAGCTTGTGGTACACAAGGCAGTTCCTGTCCACTCCAAACCCACCCTTACATTGCTTACATTAAGAAAAAGTCCAGAAAACTAAATGCCAACTAAGTTATACTCAAAGTAGACCCACTGAAATTGAATGGCCTAAACCAGTCATGTCTTTTCATTTCAGGTGATCCACTAGATACAGCCCCATGTGACTGATTTACTCAGGTCCTGGTTGTAGGCTTCCTAGAGACATCTGGTTGCCCAATGAAAATACCAGGATATTGGACAAGATCCAACAGAGCTCTTCCTATGTTCCTAGTCTGAAGGGTTCCTTTTTCACTGACGGAATCACCACCAAATCTGAATTGTTCCATCTTGCTTGCAAGCTTCCAACAGCTTCCCCTGGTTGGCCACTGTGAGAACAGACTGCTGGCCTCCAGTCTGGTTCACCAGGGCTCTTATCATGTCCTTAATTCCCAGCATGGTGATAATGTCAAGATTAGATAAAATATAGTCCTATATTACACGCTATTCAAGTACAAGAACTTCATTAACCCTGATGAACTATACTGAACTCTAAGGAAACCAAAGTTACACTGCCTTATCCGGTTGTGCAATGAAATTTTTTTACCCACATACATGGAAAAGATTAGCATCTTTAAACTAGTAAGTAGCAGCTATTCAGATATTTTAAGAGGATTCCTGCAGTTACTTTATCCTAACACGGAAGGACCAGTTACCATTTTTCGCACACTATATGAATGAAGTACAAAACACTGCATTTCAAAACCTTAAGTGTTCAGGTTCTGCAAACCTTCAGTTTGAGTAATGATCTGAATGTCTGTGTTACGGCTGCAGGAACAGCTAAATGATTGCAGGATCACTCGGGTGATTTTGCTCATTCTCAACGGACAGGTCCCAGAGGGTGTCTGCTTCTGATCTCCATGGGACTTTTTCTACAATGCCAGATTCCAAAGAAACAAAAGCCTCATGGAGACTTACTGTATTTCACGCAATCCCTTAACCATGCATTAGAGAGAGGATCTGCAAAAATAAAATAAAAAAATCACCCTTCCTATTTCTTATAGACATCTGCTAACCATGGTGTAGCATGGCATTCCTGCCAAGTAAAACCTAACAACTGTTACCTAAAGAAGAAGAAAACCCAATCTGCAAGCCAGATTCACCCCAGGATTTCAAACTCTGGTTAAAGCTAACCATGGTTGACATTAACTTTAATGCAGGGGCAATACTGATGGAACAGTGGTGAGGAATTGAGGAATCCATGCAGGAAAGAGAAGGAGGGAACTTACAAACACATAAACATTGTCCTGGCTTGCACATACCACTAAGTCAAACTGCGGCTTAGTGTGAATGAGTAAACCAGTGGGTACACAGAGCAAAAATCACACCTGCTATACTCCTTCCGCAGTCTTGCTACAGTACCCAGAGCTAAGCCATGGTTTGGCTTAGCATTATGTGCAAACCAAGACTCATGATATGCCTTGCTCCAAACTTGCCATGAGTATAGCCAAGATTTGTTCCTGACTTATTGCTAATGGTTTGTTTCAAGTGAAACAAACTATAAGCCCAGGCTCACATGCAACACTTAGCTCCAAGGAGAATGAAAACAGCAGGACCAAGAGGAGAATGAAACAGCTGCAATTTTCGCTCTGTATACACCAACGCTTATTCACTTGTGCCAAGCCATAGTCTGAGGTAATGCTACATGCAAAATGCACCATGATGTACATAGTGTACAGAATGCTATACTTCTCTTACCTTTTCCCCAAAGCTATGGAACCACTTTCCCCTACATACTAGACAAACCTGAATTTTAGGAGGAAGGCAAGAACTCTTTATTGTGAGTCATTTCCTGCAGATGAGGCTAAACTGGCAGATGGCCTGGATTTCAACAACAATCACGCCAACCTTACACCAACCGCATGGGTGTTAAGATTTAGATTTCAGTGAGGTGGGACAACAGGTCAAAAGTAGATGAAGATGGGAAAGCATTTGTAGATTCCTGTATCAGACAAGAATCCGAGACATCAGGATTCAAATCCCCACTTAGACATGATGCTCATTGGGTGACCTTAAGCCAGTCACTGCCTCTCAGCCTAACCTACCTCAAAGGGTTGTTGTGGGAATTAGAAAAGGAGGAGAACCACATACGTCCCCTGGGGCTCCTTGAAGAAAAGGTGGGGTAAAAATGCAATAAGTAAATATGTAAATAGGCAGCTCCATAAGGTAACTGGGATTCTCCACAAAGGCCATGACACATTACGAGAAAGCAATTAAATTCAGCATTTGGAAAAAATGCTCTGCAATGCACGTTTACTAGCCATGGTGTATATTCCCACTGGATGCAAGAAGCTAGCATAATACAGACACTGTTAGCTCTCTCACCTATCCTTTGTCACAGAATTTTTAGAATTTCATATTCAACAGCACACACTTAGTTCTTGGCATTGCATAACGCCAACAGCTCACTGTCTGGTTGTTGCAGGGTGTAACGCAATATGCTCCTTCCTCCAAAAGAGAAACAAAAGGGCTGAGGAACATTATATACTCGTGGCATATAAAAGCTATTTGCGGACTTTTATGGGGAGAAAAGGGCAAATCTAAAATATCCCAACCTATTTCTTTGACTTTACGGACAAACCTGTTCTGTGGCCAAGTTAAGCCAGTTCATTTATACAATGTGGTCTTATATGAAGCCACGGCAATATTTAACAATATAGAAAGGAACCTCAGAAGCTACCTTATTCAGGCATCAGACCATAGGTTCATCTAGCTTAGCACAGTTTCCTTAGTACAGCATCAGGATTTCAGAGGAGGGGGGTCTTTCTCAGTCCTATTTGAGATGCCAGGGAACTGAACCCAGAATCCTCCACTTGAAGAAAACGGCTCCATATACAGTGGTACCTCTGGTTACATACTTAATTCGTTCCGGAGGTCCGTTCTTAAACTGAAACTGATCTTAACCTGAATAACCACTTTAGCTAATGGGGCCACCCGCTGCTGCCACACTGCCGCCACGCAATTTCTGTTCTCATCCTGAAGCAAATTTCTTAACCCGAGGTACTATTTCTGGGTTAGCGGAGTCTATAACCTGAAACGTATGTAACCTGAAGCGTATGTAACCCGAGGTACCACTGTACTTATCGTTCAGCAGCAGAGTGTAAAGCGAGATGGATATCCCGCTTTATCACTACCCGAAGGAGTCTCAAAGCGGCTAACATTCTCCTTTTCCTTCCTCCCCCACAAGAAACACTCTGTGAGGTGAGTGGGGCTGAGAGACTTCAGAGAAGTGTGACTGGCCCAATTATGCAAGTCGTTGTTGACAATACCAAGTTAGATGGATCAGTGGTCTGATTTGGTACAAGACCGGTTCCTAGGTTTCGTGTGCGAAGCATGTGCCCTACCACCAAGCTATGGCAGATGTTTATGCTAATGGAGCAGTCAGCAACTGAGGGCCTGTGTCTCAAATCCGGCCAGCTGACCCTATGCTCTCATAATGACTACAGTCATTATGAGCCAGTGTGGTGTAGTGGTTAAGAGCGGTAGATTTGTAATCTGGGGAACTGGGTTCGCGTCTCTGCTCCTCCACATGCAGCTGCTGGGTGACCTTGGGCCAGTCACACTTCTCTGAAGTCTCTCAGCCCCACTCACCTCACAGAGTGTTTGTTGTGGGGGAGGAAGGGAAAAGGAGATTGTTAGCCGCTTTGAGACTCCTTCGGGTAGTGATAAAGCGGGATATCAAATCCAAACTCTTCTTCTTCTACAGAGAAAACATTCCGTTCCGACTAAGCACACAATGGCTGGTTTCAAGAGGAAGGAGGAACAGAGACTCAAGGTTTGTTTTCCTTGCAGTTTCCCTCTCGCTCTCGGCAGAAGCATGACATCAGTCTGTAACTTTCACCCACATCCACCTGCGGTGATCTGGCTAACCTAGACAAGAGTGCAGGGGAAGAAGAGAAATGGACTGTGCCCTTCAGTGCGCTGGCTTCACATTCAGTTCAGATACCAGCCATGGGAAGCTGGCTTATACCAGTATTGTCTATTCTCACTGACTGGCAACGGCCCTCCAGGATTTCACAAAGGGGCCTCTCTCAAACCTACTTGGGGGCTGAACCTAGGACCTTCTGCTTACAAAGCAGATACTCTACTGCTGAGCTGTGGCCCACCCTCCTCATTCAACCACAACACAACTGTAGATCGTTTTTCTGCCTGGAATTCAAACACCCTTATGGCACTTGATGAGAAAACGCATGCTCCACTTATTCCCGCAGCAGTGGCAATTCCAGCCATTTTACTGGTAGGGCTGGGCAATATATCAATATACTATCCAAAACCTGTTTGAAATCCTTATTGTGATATCGATTTCATAATTTTTGTCCTGGCAATATATCAGATGTCAAGGAAATAAACAACCATCTGACTTTTAGAAGACATCTGAAGGCGGTCCTGTTTATGGAAGTTTTTAATGTCTGGTGTTTTGTCGCATTTTTAATATTCTGGTGGGAGCCGCCCAGAGTGGCTGAGGAAACCCAGCCAGATAGGCGGGGTATATATAATAAATTATCATCATCATCATCACGAGTCGTGGTGTGCTTTAAGGCAGGGTGATATGTCATCTAAAGCGGGTTTGAAGTCCATATCTTGATATCGGTTTCATAATTTTTGATCTGGAAATATATTGTAAATTATTGGGGGGGTTGCTATGCAAAAATCACAATGCAGGAAAAACCATGAAGCCAGTCAATGCCTCTACAGTACAGTGGTACCTCAGGTTAAGTACTTAATTCGTTCCGGAGGTCCGTTCTTAACCTGAAGCTGTTCTTAACCTGAAGCACCACTTTAGCTAATGGGGTCTCCCGCTGCCGCCGTGCCGCCAGAGCCCGATTTCTGTTCTTATCCTGAAGCAAAGTTCTTAACCTGAAGCACTATTTCTGGCTTTGTGGAGTGCATAACCTGAAGCATATGTAACCTGAAGCGTATGTAACCCGAAGTACCCCTGTAGTTCCATCCTTATTTCAGACATCGTGATGTATCAGTATATCACGCTGTTTAGCTGGTGATATATCACCATGTTGAAAACTTGATACCACCCCGCCCTAACTGCCGGTGTTCCGCCCTCCCTCCCATCAACATGCTGCTAAGCCGTGATGGCAATGCACTGCCTCATAGTCGGAGGCAGCAAACTGCAGGAGGGGAGAGAGCTCTTGTGAAGCAGACGCTGAAAGGCTTCGGCCTGCCCATTTGAAAGCTTTTCCTTAGAGAGGTGAGGAAAGAGCTGTCCCCGTGTTAAACCTATTGTACCTCAGCTCCCAAATTAGACTGTAACGTAATAGGTTTCAAAGAGTCATCATCTCTGCTACAGAGATCTTGCTTTGTCACAATTCAAAAGAACTCCATACAGAGGGAAATCAATCCATGCTGAGTATAGTATATTGCAGCGCTCTTTCTCAAAATGATCCCCCTTACCCCCTCTTTTTAAAATAAATAAATAAATAAATAAAAAGTTACGTCTTTGAAATGTTTGGGACAGAGTATTGCCTCCACAGGTATACTGGGGTCCCCCCCCCCTTAGACTCAGCACAACTAATCACTAACTAACTACATGGTACCAATACACACAAAACATTAATTCCCTAGCAGACAATACACAAGTCCCAACCATTTTGCGGAGGGTGTTAAGAACAGCCACCACAGAGCCTTTAAAAAAATTAAATTAAAAAATTATACACAAGGAACTAAAGGTGGCACGATACTTTATCCACACAGCCCTGTGTAGTAGATTAGGCTAAGGCAGCATTCCTCAACCTTGGGTCTCCAGACGTTTGTTGGACTACAATTCCCATCATCCCTGGCCATTGATAGGAGTTGTAGTCCAAAAAAACATCTGTGCACCCAGAGTTGAAGATCACTAGGCTAAGAGATAGAAACTGATTTCAGCATAGCTCACATCTGAAGTCACACGGGTAAGGCTGAAGTGAAAAGCTGAAGATTTCAAAATTGTATACAATCGAAAGATTAAAGGTAAAGGTAAAGGGACCCCTGACCATTAGGTCCAGTCGTGGCCGACTCTGGGGTTGCAGCGCACATCTCACTTTATTGGCCGAGGGAGCCGGCATACAGCTTCCGGGTCATGTGGCCAGCATGACTAAGCCACTTCTGGAGAACCAGAGCAGTGCACGGAAACGCCATTTACCTTCCCGCCAGAGTGGTACCTATTTATCTACTTGCACTTTGACGTGCTTTCGAACTGCTAGGTTGGCAGGAGCAGGGACTGAATCAACAGATTACATGAAGCCAATAAAGGACGGTTTTCACTGATCTCTTAAAGCAAACTTAGGGGCAGGCTGCACTAAACTCAAAAAATGAAGTTTCAGAGAGATTTGCATATTTAAGTGTCTGTTATTTATATTCTCCTTGTTTGCTTCTGGAAACACTGATATAACACTAGCATACCAGCCGCGAATGTAATTGTTGCATAAGTATAGAGCTGTTCTGTATACAGTAGATAAAAGATTTCAGTAATATGTTTTAAGGGCTGGCAATTAGAAAGGATATTATTGTTTAAAAATAACATTATTTTGAAAAGGGCAGTGTTTAACAAAGTGCTTCTGCTAGCGCAGGAGTTTCTGCTTGCATAACAGAACTTATTCTCCCTCTCCTCATGCCCTCCCCAAATCTGTTACCGAGAGTTTGGGGGGACGACCCAGAATAGATGGGGGCTGCGGGGAGAAGAGAGGAAGGGAAAGTTTCGCTCACACAGCCAAAAGGCGTTGCAATAGCGGAACCACTTCATTGGATACCACCCCCCCAAAAAAAATATTTATAGGCTGCAGAGCCCTCACATGGTGGGCGGTGTATGATAAAATGAGAAACATTTGTAATGCTCTTCCATTCTTCTGAAAAAAAGTCATAACTTTCTGCAGATGAGAATAATGACAGGGTGATGGTGTTGTCACATGGTTGCCCTGTAAAACATGAGCAAAGCATGACAATTCCATGTTAACCACTCGTCCTGGAACCCAACTCTCTAAAATCCATTTCCAATTCTCTACCTACTGGCTCTCCCTTCTGGATAATTTGAGCTCACTAACACCAAGCATTAAACTCTTAGTATTATGATGCCGGCATTATCAACAAATCTTAGCACATCAGCATACCAAAACATTTAGTAGCACCATTTCATCCCTACCTTTTAATATAAAACTTGCAAAAATCAAATTAACAGCTAGCACAAGAAACCTCACAGTTCTTAAAACCTGGTTAAGGCAAATACATTAATCCAATCTACAGCTCGTACTCGAGTATTAAAAAGCATCCTAGGGAACAAGAGCCGCTGTTCTTAAACTCTTCTTAAATGGGCTTAATTTTTACTTTGGAATCAAAAATAAACTCTTAACTGGCACGTGGCAAGCACCTGACAGAGAAAAAAACCCCAACTATCTAGTCTCTGCAAGTTCAGGACGGAAAAGGAAAGTTAATGAGAATTCCTGGGAGGATATGCAATATACTTCATAGCTATAAAAACGCTGATTAATGCTGGAGATTGTAATTAGTCTAATTTCTAATGCTTGGCATCTTGTCCCTAGTGTTCGGCACACAATGTGCAATAATTTCTAATCCAGTTTATATCATATACAAGATTCCAACCAATGTTTAATTACTAATTATTTTTATTTATTTATAAGACTTTATAAAATGCAACGTCAAGGTGGTATGTGGTGAAATCATAGAACTTTAAAATCTTAAACTTATAATGTTTATTTATAAAGAAGACTTGTATACCGAAACATCATTTTTTAAAAAAAAAATCCAACATGTTTATAACCATGCAAATATACAATAAAAGCCACATACAAAATATCAAAAAATCATCAGCCAATTATTTTTTTACAGAAGATGCTCTCTTAATTGTCTGCATAAACCTGACAGCATAGAAAGGTTTTTAGCAAAGGTTTAAAAGTTTAAACAAATGGTGCCCGATGAATCCCTATTGGGTAATCAATAATATACAGAACAAATGACCAACACTGAATCAGATCAATTCTCTAAAAACACTTGGCAGATAAATAAATAAAAATAGAGGGTAGCCTATGAAAAAGCCATGGTGGGAACTTTTCCAGCTGAAGAGCGGGATATAGATGCTGGGGGGACGGGGGGACGGACAGAAGTCCAACTTTGGTTCCTTATGCACAACTGACAAAAGAAAACTGAATCTCTCTATAAAACAAAACATAACAACACTCCAAAAGTACAGCCATCATCCTCATGGAGCAATCAGTCAGTGCATCTGGCTGTTTACCAGAAGACTGCTGGTTCAAGCCCAACCAGAGACAGCTGTGGGCAGGATTCCTGCATTGCAAGGAGGTTGGACTAGATGACCCCCAGGATCCCTTCCAACTCTATGATTCTATCAAATCAGAACCGGAAGCTGCAATCGACAGGCTGCAAAAAATATTCCTACTGTTTCTGCTAGAAGAGGGCCAAAACACACGATCATCCTCCATATGGTTGGCTGCTCCCCCAATCCCCTCGATTTCTCCTCTCATCCAGTTCATCCAGACTGATTGCCATGACGACAAGTCATGATTTGTGCATGTCAAAGACACTGCGAGCTTGCACTTGGGAATGCAAGAGTTGGCTATGCTGCAGTTTTGCAGAGATTGTCTACCAAAACACATTTGTAATAAATAAAAAATCAGTGTAGACATGCGCATGTTATACTTCTGCAAAGATTTGCAAAGAGTACAGTTTTAATCAAAGAGGTTCATACGACCTCGTTGAAAAGTTTCCCCAACTGTGTATCAAAATTGCCTCCATTATTATTTTTTAAAGAGCCTTCTCGGGTAACTTTTCCACAGTATGCTTAAGCTAGTGAGGCTGCTATCGTATTTCCATGTCGAGCTTTCTCTCTGTCCCTAAATTTTCAGGTGCTTGCGGGGGAAACACCAGAGTTGTCAGTAATGTTTTACTTACATAACGCTTCCTGGTATGAAGAACTTGACTTTATAGTTCTTACCTCCGATCTTCCCTACTTAAGAGATAAAGGGACTGAGAAAGCGGCCTGCTTGTTCCTGAGAATTTCGTGACTTCGGTAGGAATTTCAGGCTGGGCCTCCAACCAGGTCAGAAGGTATATATCCAATGTTAACATACCTTTCTTAGATT